ACTCTGCGGTCCGTAAGCTCGCACATCCGGCCTTTTAGTTATGATCTAATGATCTCTACTGTCGTCTCTTCGTTTCGACCCTGATATCCGCGAGAAGCTCTTGTGTCTTGCCTTCCGAAAGGTTGATCCTGTAGCCAGTCGTGTGATAAAACGATGGTGAACAGTAGCCTTTGCTGTTATGTGATTTCTTCCACGCAAGGAGCGTTTCAAGACCTCACACGTTCTCATCAAAAGCACGGTCCTATTTCACTGTATCATATCAACCTTATAAATCTACCTATCTATCCATTTTTTTCTTGTTTGAAAGTGGGGGTCGCTTAACTCTGCTCTGATTTCAACGTAGGAGTTTTTTCCACTGCTTCCTTCTGAGTTCATTATATTTTCCAAAGAATGTTGACTATTGCTTTAAAAGGATGACTTCTTGTGGGATGTGAAATACTCTACCTACCATACTACCCATTTCTGCGGTTTATCAAACTGTTCACACAGAGCACCAATTGTCTGTATTGTCTTTATTTTACCATAAAATTAATTTTGTTAAATAAGGCCCCGGGCTTTGAATATGAAATTTATTGATTGATAATCCCGCCGCTCAAAAAATCTGCACGGTATTTAAAGGCGCTTAACTGCGCGAACCATGCATTATTTGCGCTGTGAGGAGGAGATCGGCAGGTTGATAAAGAAATGCTCGGAAAACCCAAAAAAGTAGTCACCTAGTCTTTGAGGGTTCCATATAGGTCCGGCTTCTGTGGCTTAAGGAGGATTATCTGCATCTGCAACGGATACAGGTGAGGGCTACAAAGGTGGTCAAGAAGCTGAGACACCTGACTTATTTGATTTGTTTTCTTGCAATACTAGGCAGTTACGTGGTGATGTCATTCAAACAGGATGGTCGAAGCTTGGAATTCTCGGCGGAAGTGAACATAAAAACATCCAGAAGCAAAGTATTTAAGAGGATGCTGGATCGGTATATCTGTTTCCACTATCATACCACTTGATCTTTGTATTCCTGACACATGACGAAACAAAACCTAATTGTTATAATCTTACTTCCTATATTTCAATCATATATTCACCACTTTCACATACTGACACTCACCTTTGCGGTTGCATACACTTGAAATCATACCTATTTCTGTGTTAAATTTCTGTACTCATACAAACTGCTGCAATACACATGAAAGTGACCTGCAGTGACTCATTTCAGGCGGACGCTCGCGCGCGAACGCTCACCGCTGCTAAATATTACACGTGTATTTATGTCGGCCTCTGGGACAGCCATTCACAGGTGCCGAAAACCAGGCCAACGCTCAACCCCTGGCGGTTGTTAAGAAGTGCGCATGCACCGGCCTGGCCAATCATCCTTCAAGGCTGACCCACACAAA